TTTATATCTACGCTCTACAATATTGGTAACAGTGGTATTTCTATATCACTCTACAATTGATATATTGAACACTATTTTAACAGTGGTATTTCTATATCACTCTACAATTGATGTTTTGAGCACTATTTTATCAGTGGTATTTCTATATCGCTCTACAATTGATGTATTGAGCACTATTTTATCAGTGGTATTTCTATATCGCTCTACAATTGATGTATTGAGCACTATTTTATCAGTGGTATTTCTATATCGCTCTACAATTGATGTATTGAGCACTATTTTATCAGTGGTATTTCTATATCGCTCTACAATTGATGTATTGAGCACTATTTTATCAGTGGTATTTCTATATCGCTCTACAATTGATGTATTGAGCACTATTTTATCAGTGGTATTTCTATATCGCTCTACAATTGATGTATTGAGCACTATTTTATCAGTGGTATTTCTATATCGCTCTACAATTGATGTATTGAGCACTATTTTATCAGTGGTATTTCTATATCGCTCTACAATTGATGTATTGAGCACTATTTTATCAGTGGTATTTCTATATCGCTCTACAATTGATGTATTGAGCACTATTTTATCAGTGGTATTTCTATACCACTCTATTTTTACAATAAAAATATTTTAAGATATATCTACATTATAACATCTTATTGAACCTAATGTACTCCGCAGTACAAATTGTAAAGAATTTGAATACCAGTTCTATTCTTAGAGAAGATTCAAGACACCTGCAATGAGGCATGCTGAGAAGAATGTAATTAAGTGGTTGAAGAGATTAAGATATAATGTTTTAACATAACTTGATCTACTACTTCAAATTATCTGTATCATAATATACTTCTCTTATAGTACAAGATAACAACTGCTAATAACATGTTTACATTATTATCAAAGTATTTAATCATGTTTTAGGATCATGGTCACTGTACTTGGAGAGAGTTAATGTAAGAAGAGCTTGCACAATACAGCTGTGAATTGATACATAGGGATAATAGATGTCACACAGAGGTGTATTTAAGGGGTGGGCCATTTGACCATAACAACTCCAACACCTCTCAGATCTGTGAAAAGTCTTTCTTAAGGTCCTCTAAATTCTCAAGATTGTTCTCAGGCCATTGAAATCCATATAGTTTTGGAAAGAATATAACTAAATAATCATTACTCCCTCTATTACTGTTAAAACCAAAATTTCTTCACAACTGATATTAATTAACTAATTAAGAAGATATGACTTAATCATTATTCCTGTTTATACGAAGGGATTATAAAGAGGATTTCTGAATTTTTTAAGTGTATCAGGGATACTGATAGCATCAATTTGCACCACAGACATCTGATTGAAAGTTAGAATGGTGCAAATTGATGCAAATATAATAAATTTAGATTATCTCTATACAATCCCTTAAATGCTATATAAGGTTATTTACCATAACTTGATTTGGCACTGAGTTTTTTGTGTTTGACTCAAAGTTATCTTTATAATGTAGCAGTACCAGCATAACTAATATTGAAATTATAAAATTTATTATCAGTGCCAACTTGAATTAAATCATCTTTCCTAATTATGAATGGGTCGATGGGTACAGAACTGATCAAACAGATAGCACAGATCATTGCCAAAAGGTTTCAGTCAGCTGAATTTCAGATTCTTGGAGAAACTGAGTTGTTTAATATAACCTTAGGCTTCACCAATTTATTTTCTTGTCTTGAAAAATTTGTAAAGGCAGGAGTGAGAAAAGATATACCGGGTAATAGAAAAGACAAAAAGTGTGTGTATTTGATTTAATCAAAAATCATAAAAAAAATTTAAAATAGGGAGCTTTTGCTATATTTTAGTGGGAATGAAGTTTTGTTATCTTTTTGATTTCTGCAAAACCGAGGTAGGAGGATCCATAAAACAAGACGACAAATAGGTCTGGCCTTTTGAATATTACTGTCATTGCTGTCTTGACTTAGTCATGATTATGTTCAGCCCTAGGGCAAAGTTTACGTTATGCTCCACTATGGAATGAACACAAATGATAAAGAGGAAAATCATTCAAACTTGTAGAGTTTTATTTAGAAACACATACCAGTCTTCATCTAACACCAGTATTGAATTCATTCAAAAAGTGTTACGGTTTCTACATTCATTATTATTTAGATGGAAAATTGTGTTTTCTCACAATATGAACTTCTTCAAAGTATCATTTGGATGGAATTTATGTCATATAACTTAAGCTTATTGCCATGACTACTGCCAAGTGTAAACTTCCTCTACGGACTTTTTTCCCAGAAAGAAAATGTTGGACACAGAGTTGGATAAATTTGAAGAATCTGATGTAAGGTTATGGCAGTTGAAAATTAACTAAATACTGCTCCTTAAAGAGACAGGTGTGCCATTTTGGGGCATTGATTGAGCGTTGAATATATGTAAATAGTCTTCAGAAGTACGAGTCGTTATTTTAACATTCAAACTCTGTTAATTCTGGCCATGCATCGATTTGAAGGGTCAAATTTGACGGTGAGGTGTGAACACTATTAATGATTGGCTTGGCTAGAAAATTCCCCTTCTGAGACTAAGGTTTGATTAGTAAAAAAAATGGCGCAGCTGTCCCTTTAATAGAAATATTGTTGAGGTATACACTGAGTAACTTTGTGAATTATTCCTAGAAATTTTTAGAAAACTTCTGAGTAAAACTGTCTCCCTCCCCTCTCTTTTATAAATATGTTGTCTGAACAAGTTCTTCGGTATATCGGATTTAGCCCATTTTTATTGGCTATGAATTTGAATATAGGCCTAACCTTTATAAGGGTACCAGTAGGGCCCTAGTGATAATCTTAGATCAACATTGCGTTGATTATTATAAAAAAAAAATATATAGCTTGATTTCAACAGAATATGTCCCTTTGTAAAAATTCAAAGTTTTAATGCGTTAATTTGATAATTTATTAAAATTCACTTTAAAAAAAATGGTCAAAATTTGATAGAAGCTTACCAACGAAATTGCAAATACACCCTTAACCATTTGCCATTGGTAGACCTACTGGAAAGAAGAACTCCATCAAGTTCACGAATATAAAGGATTCTGTATATGAAATGAAATGAAATGAATGGAGTTTTACATCCTACTTTTCTGTAAAGGATTCTGTAAAGTGTAAAAAAGTTACATAGGCCTATATATAGGCTAACTTTTCCTTCCAATTTTTATTGATATCAAACAAAAAGTATCAGTTTAGATCTATTTAGAAACTGGAAAAAGTTTTTGGCAATTAACCATTTGTTTGAATTGTCTTCTTTGTAAACAAATGAACAAACGAATGAACAGGGTGAAAGGTTATCAAAACAATCACATACAAAATACACACTCACTAATTCCTAATCGAAGTACATCGGGTCAAATGGATATTTTACCGCGTTATTTTTATTGAAAATTGAATGAAATCAATAATATGAAGCTTACGATAAATAGGCCTAAAGTAAGCAATGTCAACCACTTGTTATGCCCTTGACATTACAAAGATAGGAAACGAAACGAAAGGCAATAAAAGACACTTACCCGCACAGAAAACTAGAAACTTCTCAAAGCTTGAATTTTACCAATAATCAACTGTTGAACTATTTTTGTCGGTTTTGTTTCTCCACACAACCAGTTCTCGTGATACGAAGGTGAAAATGATTGTCTGATCGATGGGAGATGACTTTGTTTCTGGTTACTTTTCAGACAACAAATAAATTATGAACCTGCAAACACTATTTATGTGCTGACATAAGTCAACCTTAATAAGACCATTCATATTTAGCCGCAGTGGCTTGGAAAATCAGGTGATGGGGCCACTATGTAAAATTTGTAAAAATTTGAAAGTGGGGTGGGCCATAGCCAGGAGCATCTCTTTTTCCCCCACCCCATAGAAACGTCACTGCTTGGCAGCCCAAATATTTTTTGACTTTGTAGTTAGGTTTCTAATCAGTTGTTTTCGAGGATTAGTATTATAACTTGGTATTTTGATACAATTTCTCTTCACTAAGTGGACATTTACATGGTATACTTTGAAAGATCAATATCAAAGGTGTCTTCAACCTTTATCTTTCTATAAATCTTTCAGGATGCTTGAACACTTGCATTACCCCTTTTTCCCCTATATATCTTCATTATTTTGTGATTTTCTCTTAGGTTAGCACTGCAATCTTTCATTATGTTAGAGAATATAACCTGACTGAATATATTAAATTGTCCAAAAGGTATAGGCTAGATTAAAAAAGTGCCTCATTAATCCCCAACGTTGAAAATTCGTCATAGTCTAAACACAGAGTTCACACAGAGTGTTATGGTGAAAAAACTGTTTTTGAAAAAGAAATATGAAGTTCATAAAGCAGACATTTACCATATATGTAATGACAAAAATTCATACAATAAATGAATTTATAAAACAAGTAATAGAAATATTAAAAAAGAACTTAACACATGTTGTAAATCAGATGGTACCCTAGCAAATACAGCCAAGGAAGCCAATGACTGCATTGAATAACAGAAGAACATTAACATTTGATTGAGGTAAAACAATTAGCACAAATATAGGCTATATACCATACGAACATGTCAAGGTCAAGCTATTACAAACACATCTAATACCTTGACATCATTAGGCAATTTTCTTGTATCAAAAGTGTTTGTAAATGCAGTTAATTTTATAACAGATACAGATACAATCAGAGATGAAAGACTGAAAATAATATGGAAAGAAAATGAGTTTTATTTTTATAAAAGAAATAAAATTTAATAATAACAAGGTATTTGATTGGCTATCATCTTGTCCAAACCACACCCCCATTTCTCATACTTTCTGGGGACAACATCCAAACTAGTATTCGGGATATTGGATATATATTCAACTCTCAAAAGAGAAAACAATTTTGTATCTAAAGCTTGCTGACAGGACTGGTGTCGTAAGACTTACAAAAAAAGTCTAATGAGGTCAATGTATGAAGCAAAGTTCGTACACTTTTGTCAAACATCACATTTGTAAGGTTTCTCTCCAATGTGTATTCTCATGTGACCTTTAAGTGTTGATGCTGCATTAAATTGTTTTTCACAAACATCACATTGGTAAGGTTTCTCTCTAGTATGTATTCTCATGTGATCACCAAGATGATTTGATTGTGTAAAACACTTTTCACAAACATCACATTTATAAGGTTTATCTTTAGTATGTATTCTCATGTGATTATCAAGCTGACTTTTCTGTGTAAAACACTTTTTACAAACATCACATTGGTATGGTTTCTCTTTAGAATGTATTCTCATGTGATTATCAAGTTGACTTTTCTGTGTAAAACACTTTTTACAAACATCACATTGGTATGGTTTCTCTTTAGAATGTATTCTCATGTGATTATCAAGTTGACTTTTCTGTGTAAAACACTTTTTACAAACATCACATTGGTAAGGTTTCTCTCCAGTATGTATTTTCATGTGATTATCAAGCTGACTTTTCTGTGTAAAACACTTTTTACATACATCACATTTGTAAGGTTTCTCTCCAGTATGTATTCTTACATGAGCATTACGATCAATTGCCCGTGTAAAAAACTTTTCACAAACATCACATTGGTAAGGTTTCACTCCTGAATGTATTCTCATGTGATTAACAAGATGAATTTTCTGTGTAAAACACTTTTCACAAACATCACATTTGCAAGGTTTCTCTCCAGTATGTATTCTTATATGAACATTACGATCAATTGCCCGTGTAAAAAACTTTTCACAAACATCACATTGGTAAGGTTTCACTCCTGTATGTATTTTCATGTGATTATCACGAACATTTTTCTGTGTAAAACACTTTTCACAAACATCACACTTGTGAGGTTTTTCTTCAGTATGTGCTCTCAAGTGAATACCAAGATACCTTGCTTTAGTAAAACACTTTTCACAAACTCCACATTTATGAAAATTTCTGTTTTTTTCCATGACAAAATTCAAACGTTAGATTCTGAGATATATAGGACTCAGACCACTAAAACCTCTTACGAATTTATTTTTTGCTATTTTTAGAAATCCTCTTTCTGTCCCCTTTCCTTAGTTTTTGCATGCCCAATTTTGACTAATTTTTGGTCTAAATTTGGAACATTTTGCATTTTCTTTAAGATTTTGTGAGAGATATTTCTATATCATCAACTGGATGTTGATATCCGGTAGTGGTCTACTTTCTTTTTGTCTAGTTCAAAATTTTCATGGTCATCGTATATGGAACTTTTTAGAATGTGTCTTGGGTTTGCCAAATTACAAGGTTTACCTTGCCCTTGAAGAAATCTATCGACATAGTCGGAGGAGGGGGGAGGGGGGGGGGGGAACCACTAAGGAGGAACTTGTAGAGGGAGGAAGCGGCTTGAATGTGGGTCACGTGATTTTGGTCGAGGTGCGCGCATGGCAAATGATACACTTCCGTCACTTCAGCTTTGAACATTTCAAAATGTCGAGAAAAACTGTGAATCGGGAGAGAAAAACAATGAATAAGTAAACTAAATGAGCCATGATTTGGTAAATATTTACATCACGATAGTGTAAAATTATATTTGAAAGGAACTATAACTCGTTGACACGAACGTTGGCGTCTTTTTTTAATAATATTTATAAGATTCCAACAAAGTAAACAACCTGGAAGTGTAGTGAAACCTATTTTCGTGCATATACGTATTCAACACCGAATTTCGTCAAAGTTAAAATAACGGAATTTTTGGCTCTACTTCACTTATGTACCTCTATATGGATAAAAAAAATTGAAATCATAAAGAGATACATAAGTGAAGTAGTGCCGATTTTTTTTATGTCTTAGTCTTCGATGTTTCCTCAGATATTCTACAAAATACAGTGGTGTAACCTATTTTCGTGGATATAAGGATTCAACCCCGAATTTCGTCAAAGTTAAAAAAAAGAAATTTTTTTTTTTATGTCTTAGATGTTTCCTCAGATATTCTACAAAATAATTAAAATTGGTTTGTTTCGATTTTCTTTATGAATTCTTCACTTTGACCCATATTTCATGAGCAACCAACTCGGCAACGGCGGCAGAATGCGTCACCTATTTTCGTGTACAATGTTTGAACTATAAATAAGTCTAAAAAAACACATTGTATGGATACCGGGTGTTATAATTAACTTCTCTTAGTATTTATCTTTAATATCAATTCATTATAACTAGTGACAATTCCTTCAAAGAACCACGATTTAAAAAAAAAAATAGTGACTGACAAAATAAGATACGTAGCGTGATTTATTGCTAATAGTCACTGAAACAACATAAGAATATGGTCCCCTTTGTGTTCCATAGAAATTTTCTGCTGACACGGAATCCGCTAGTTGATCACGTGACTTCATTTGTTGGACTACATTCTAGCAGACGACACTTGGAATTCCGATTACGGCTAGGGATTATAAGGAAATTCGGATGATAAAAATGGTGACGTTTGGTAATAACTGAAATCCGCCATTTTGTATTTGTCTTCTATAAGTATACATTAATACATTTTACCTTGCTTGCAACTACTGGATTCATTCTACTAGTTGATATTGTAGAGAAACCCCACGTTTATTAAAACAAACTAATGCGAAGGTCGCTCATGTAAATTATTAATCCTTTCCGGAAATCCATGAATAATAGGTTTCCACGAAATTAGGTTACTCTACTGTAATTGTTTTGTTTCGATTTTCTTTATGAATCACTCACTTTGACCCATATTTCATGAGTAACCAATTCGACAACAGTGGCAAAATGTGTCACCTATTTTCGTGTACATTGTTTGATCTATAGATAAGTCAAGAAAAACATGTATGGATACCGGGTGGTATAAGTAACTTCTCTTAGTATTTATCTTTAATATCAATTCTAAATAACTAATGACAATTCCTTCAAAGAACAAGGATAAGAAAAAAAAATAGTTACTGGCAAAATAAGATACGTAGCGTGATTTATTGCTAAAAGTCAGTGAAACAACATAAGAATATGGTCCACTTTGTGTTCCATAGAAATTTTCTGCTGACACGGAATCCACTAGTTGATCACGTGACTTCATTCGTTGGACTATATTCTAGCAGACGACACTTGGAGTTCCGATTACTGCTTGGGATTGTAAGGAAATTCGGCCGATAAAAAATGGTGATGTTTGGTAATAACTGAAAATAATGGATTCATTCTACTGACATTGTAGAGATAACCCATGTTTATCAAAACAAATGCAAAGGTCACACATGTAAATTATTAATCATTTCCCCAGATGCACCAAAAAATAGATAAGCACGAAATTAGGTTACTTGACTGGCCATTCTGGCAACCGGCTTTTTTTCTTTCTCTCCCCCTCTTTTCTCACATCCTTTCTTTTTTTTCAGGTCTAGTTTTCCGACGGTTATTAGATAATCTAACCAAATCAAACCAGCGACTATCAATCAACAAGAATTACCATGATCAGAATTAGTTTGGAAGAATGAAGGAGATCGAGTAACTCACACATCAACATCCAGGGCTGAGTTTCACCGCCATGTCATTCGACCCGACCAGATCAATAACTATATCCACATATACCTGTGCATGGCACTAGATTTTTAGAGTTAACTGGGCATAAAATTGCTGAAAAAAAAAACTTTTCCCTGCATCAATAGTCAATCTGTAAAATATTACACTTCCTGATCTTCTTTGTTTCAACCTAGAATTATTACAATTTGTCATGGATAAATCTTTCAAAACCAGAAATTCTCACAAATGTCGAAATCGTGTAAAATGTGCTACAAAGGCAAGAGAGAAAACTGGAGAGAAACTTTACAAATGTGATGTTTGTAAAAAGTGTTTTACTCAACCAAGCAGTATTGATATTCACATGAGAATTCATACTGGAGAGAAACCTTTCCAATGTGATGTTTGTAAAAAGTGTTTTACTCAACCAAGCAGTATTGATATTCACATGAGAATACATACTGGAGAGAAACCTTTCCAATGTGATGTTTGTAAAAAGTGTTTTACACAGAAAGGTAATCTTGAAATTCACAAGAAAATACATACTGGAGAGAAACCATACCAATGTTATGTTTGTGAAAAGTGTTTTAGACAGAAAAGTGAGCTTGATAACCACATGAAAATACATACTGGAGAAAAACCTTACCAATGTGATGTTTGTAAAAAGTGTTTTAAACGGAAAGCTCATCTTCGTGATCACATGAGAATACATACTGGAGAGAAACCATACCAATGTGATGTTTGTAAAAAGTGTTTTACTCAACCAAAAGGTCTTGATATTCACATGAGAATTCATACTGGAGAGAAACCTTACCAATGTGATGTTTGTCGAAAGTGTTTTACACAGAAAAGTAATCTTGATAATCACATGAGCGTACATACTGGAGAGAAACCATACAAATGTGATGTTTGTAAAAAGTGTTTTACCCAGAAAGGTCATGTTCGTGATCACATGAGAATACATACTGGAGAGAAACCATACCAATGTGATGTTTGTAAGAAGTGTTTTACTCATCCAAACCGTCTTGATATTCACATGAGAAGTCATACTGGAGAGAAACCTTTCCAATGTAATGTTTGTCAAAAGTGTTTTACACAGAAAGGTCATGTTCGTGATCACATGAGAATACATACTGGGGACAAACCATACAAATGTGATGTTTGTAAAAGGTGTTTTACACAGTCAAGTGAATGTAATATTCACAGACGAAGTCATACTGGGTATAAACCATTTCAATGTGAAGTTTGTAAAAAGTGTTTTACACAGAAAAATCAGTTTGAATATCACTTGAGAACACATACTGGAGAGAAACCTTACCAATGTGATGTTTGTGAAAAACGATTTAATGCAGCATCAACACTTAAAGGTCACTTAAGAATACATACTGGAGAGAAACCTTACAAATGTGATGTTTGTGAAAAACGATTTAATGCAGTATCAACACTTAAAGGTCACTTAAGAATACATACTGGAGAGAAACCATACCGATGTGATGTTTGTGAAAAACGATTTAGTATGGCACGAACACTTATAAATCATATGATAATTCATACTGGAGAGAAACCATACCAATGTGATGTTTGTTTAAAGTGTTTTCCTCGTAAAAGGTCATATAACTGTCATGTGAAAGATGGAACTCGTTGTAAGATCTAGCTTACTATTTCAAAGGGATTGTAAAGAGGTTTTCTTAACTTTTTTTATGTATCCGGGACACTGATAGCATCACTTTGCACCATTCAAATTTTCATTCTGACGTCTGTACTTCTTGCAATTGAGTGAGATTTGTTATTGAACATTTGTATCTGAACAATTGTTGGCAGAGTTTTGTGTTTGACATTTTGCATTTGAAGATATGTTGAGCTACATTTGTATTTGAAGATATTTTTGGCAAGAATTCTAATAATTCAATAATTGGAAAACAGAATGTTTATGGAAGAATGTTCATTTTCAGTACAAATTATGATTTTTGTATACAAATGTCAATTTTTAATGACAAATGTTGAATTAATGGTGCAAATTAAGAGATAAGAATTTAGAATTAAGAAATACCAATGAAGAACATTGAATAAAAAGCCATTCCACCTTCCATATATTTCATGCTTCTCAAGACATATTTCAATAAAATAATTTTAACTTTACTGCCTGATTATCACTGCCTCTCTTGTAATATATTGAAAATAAAATTTCCCAAAATAATACCCAATTTGTGATAAAATGTCTACTAAACCTACAAAGTTGTTAACCGAGGCCCTGTTTGCAACACAGCCTGTGCATGTCGATAGTTGGAAATCGAAAAAGAGTTGGCCAATCTTCTGACAACATTTCCCTCATTGCACACTGCATGGTGTTTTCCATCTTCATTAGCCCAATTAGGAACAGAAGAAAAGGACGTAAAGCTCCATTCATTTGATTTCTTTTTATAACATTCAGTCAAGACATCTTGGTCATCACACGAGAATACACTGGACGGAAACTGTACAAATGTGATGTTTGTGAAAAACGATTTACTGTAACAGGTGAATCCTGAGATAGATGCTCGCTCGCTAACCTCATAGTCCTGGCAAAGGTCGAGATGTACCTTTTTATATTTATTATAATGTGATCGTATATTGCTGTCACCCCTGTCCGCTCGTCCATCAATAATTGGCTTGTAAACACAATAGAGACTACAGTTATTTATAAACCCACAAATACATTTTGGGCGTATATTGTCCGTTCACATTTGGTTCGTGCTCACTCTACAGGCTACAATTCTTTTGCTTTTTATTTTGTGTGTCAATGTCATTATGAATATGATCCCTATCGATTTTCGTGATAAGCTGATAATTTTTCACCGAAATATCATGTGCTACTTAGCGTTTTCACTCTATTAACTGTTTTGCGCAACTCGTGCTCACTCTTGAGGCAACAATTCTTTATGGAATCTTTTGCTTTTTATTTTGTGGGTCAATATCATTAGGAAGATGATCCCTATCGATTTTCGTGATAATCTGATAATTTTTCACCGAAATATCGTGTTCGGCTTAGTGTTTTCCCTTTACTAGGTATATAATGCATCTCATGCTCACTCTACAGGCTACAATTCTTTATGGATTCTTTTGATTTTTATATATGCCCACGTAGTATGGAAGCATATTGTCACCCGTCCATCTATTTGCAGTCTCACTGTACGAGTTAGAATTGAACGATCTTTCGATGATCGGTTTTTGAGTTATTGCCCTTGACTTAGGAAAACACGTCAAAGTTTGTTTGTGAACACAATAGAGACTACATTTTTCATCCGATTTAAATAAAATTGACCATTTATCATGATGAGATCTTGGACAAGTTCTAATTTGACGATCTTTTGTTAAACGGTTTTTGAGTTATTGCCCTTGACGTGACAGTTTTGGCAAGATTTTTGATACGATTTGACACAGATTGGCGAACGCCCTTTTATATACTAAAAGTTTAATCAGGGAAGTGGGCGTATGCTGCTAGGCAACCACTTGTTAGTTTTCCACAGTCAGTTATACAGCCGTTCGGACGGCACAATAAACGGGAAGAGTTCTTCAGGCTACAGGCGTTAAAGAGCCCTTCCCTTGACAGTTTGAATAAAAAAAAAAAACTTCCATAATTGCACACCGTTTCAGCTTCTTTATGAGCTCAATCGGGTGGATTAAAGGTAGGACTTAAAAGTCTATTTCATTTCCCGAAAGCGATCAGGCTGAAAATGGTGGAAACGTGCCAGATGTAATTGACATTCTAAATGTCGTCGATATCCCGGGATTTCATAAATAAATAATTCAAACAGCCCAATCAACAGGTAACTTGTAATTAGTTTATTCTCTAATCTCTCATTAATTAATTAATTCTGTCCAACGCCTTTTCTGAGTTGGATTGTATCAGGAAATTACACCTGTCGCACAAAGATCTCAACTGATATTCACTTCATTTCGTTTTCTTTATCATATATAATCCACGATAATTCATCTCGACCCCACCCACACACTTTCCGTAGAATGACTTACAGCCCCGTGATTTCAATTTCTTCTAAATTATCCAACTCCACCCACGCAGTGAAGTCCGTAGCAGGCCCATACTGATTGGCGTTTCTGGGACACATTAGGTTAGGGGGTCGAACATCGAAGTCATGGAAGTTGCAATTGAAACGATTTCATTGGAGTGTACGCTACCGAATACAGCCAATCAGAGCTCTCGACAGAAAGTTTGTAAACCACTAGTCATGTCGTTTTACAGCCTGTATGTAATGGGCTATGGTTGGCGAACAATCCTGTCAGATTGCTGAGTTAAAAAAAAGGTTGCTGTTGCAGTCAAGGAATTAAAAGAATTTCGTACTAGCTTCACATTATGAAGATGTTATATCTAATTATCTTTTATAATGAGGACTTGATATACGGATCCTAATAGCAATCTAGGCCTACATACTGCGTCACATAATGACGTCCCATATGACGATCACGTTCTAGAATGAAATCTACGTAGACGATATCTGTTAGGGACAGAAATAGTACAATGATAAGTCAATTATAACGGTTCAGGTAAAACGATGTAGTAAGATGTTTAATTTACGCCATCTTGGTCTTTCTTCATACGGAAGTGGATGAAGAAAGAATGGCATTATCTGCTTATAATAAGTAATTTAGAAAACTCATTAGGGTCAAAAGCCATGTATATTAGGAAAGTTTATTTTAAGCCATCTTGACGTTCTTTCACACGAAATTTTGACGAAGAAAGAATCGTCGTAGGACTAATATGGCATTATGTGACTGGGGCACGCAATTTTGATTCCGTGTATCACCATTATCTGATGAATAATTGAAGATGCTAGTTGACGGTGAACGTTTATAAAACTCAGGTGGCACCATTTACCTGTATTATAATTAACGGCCAAGCATTGTAGTAAGACGGGCACCTGCTGAGTTATACATTGTTGTATTCACTTTGGTTATATCACTAGGGTAAGTATATTATTCGGTTTTAGATCTATTGTTTTTTGATACATCACAGTATTTGAATAAAATGAAATGCATCTTGCTTAGCGACACCTGTGCTGGCTTTAATTATAATTTTGCCAAGACCGCGATATGGACCTATTCTTTTCGAAAGAGGTGTGACGTGCACAGCACATAGACGTAGCGGTATATCATCCCAACCAATCGATAGGTGCATACCCCATCTCAGCCCCTTCGAAATAATTCTGACTACAGAAACTAGCCATTGTGCCAAACACAATCTACAACCTCATTTAAGCATTCTGAAAAATATTGCGGACATTTCCTTTTTTAAATGTCCTTTTTTTGAAGCACTCTTCTGCGGTCTTTTTTGCTTTAAAAGATTTTAATTTTAAGAGATTGCAGTGTCAATTCGTTGACTTCGAAATGGACGAATTGTCTTTTCGCTCGAAATGGACGAATTGTCTTTTCGCTCGAAATGGATGAAATATTTGTAGATCGAATTTTCTTTTTTTGCTATACTATTTAAACCGATCTTACCTTATCTTAGTTTTAACTAAAAAATATCCAGACGTTAATTTTTAACTATTTAAAGATTTAAGTAAACTTTTAAAGTTTGTTATACCTTTTGGAAGCTGTTAGAAAACTACTGTAAGGATTTAAGTAAAATAAACGACCAATTGTAAAGAAATATGTCTCCTAAGTATTCGAAAGGTTTCAACAAATAATATCGAGCAATTATAAAGCCGTTTTTAATTAACCCTTTTAAAACAAATTCAGTTTTATCAAGAAGATACATACTTTAGAAATATTTTCAGGTATAATTTAAGACGTTTTTGATATTATCAAAATTAAAATATTTTACAAAAAAAGCGGAATGCAACTTTGAATGATAATGATCAAGTTAGATAATAATAATCGTACCGTTGTTTAAGGAGCATGCCCATCCACCTTACGATTTCACCACTTTGAAAGTCTGGTACACCAAACGATAAGAATTTATCGTAAGTGTGGAATTTTATATTGAGAATTATACCATACTTAAGCAAAATTGATCTTAAAGGATTGTAAAGAGGTTTTCTAAATTTTTATGTGTATCGGGAACACTGAAATCATCATTTTGTACAATGACAATTTTCAGTCAAATTTCTGCAAGTCCAACAAAAAATAGGATGTTCGATGACGTCACTTGTTGCAAAATTTTTATGCTTTACCGCAGAAGGTACTTTGCTATTAGTAACGTCATGAAACACTTTGTTTTAGTGGAATTGCAGGAACCACAGACATCTGATTGAAAATTACAAGGGTGTAAATTGATGCTATCCTTGTCCCCGATACACATAAAAAAAAAAAAACCTCTTTACAATCCTTTTAAGGTTTTTTAGTGAAACATGACTGTGGAATATTGATTGAAGGACTGAAGGTCCAGGTATTGGGATGGTCAATAACATCCGGTGTCTTAACGAACCTATTCTGCTTGACACCTGTCAACCATCTTTACGTGTCTTTCAGGAGTAACCACGGTCCATCTCATCTCGACATTAAATCCTTCTCATTTCTGCTATTGTCTCATCACACCAAAGGTAAGCTACGTTTTGTCTTTTGTTCAGTTCATAATTTGTTCGAGAAGTCCTGTACAAAATCGTGTGAAATTTGTTATATTTACCAAAGGGACACTTTTCATTCTTTCTTGTCCAGGATACAGTAAATCCAAAATATTTTTTATATAATTTCTGCTTTTTTTTTTAACATTTTAAGACCTAGATTTGAAATATAACAGATGGCAATAATTGCAAACTGTATCAAAATAAGTTTAAAATCTTAACCGATTCCGGGCTCTAGTCGAATATTGAAATCCAAAATTGTTCCGAAAACACCATTCTTGTTCTTGGTGAGATTTTTAATGCCCGTGGCCAACTGTTAACGTTTCTTTGTATGCGGCGGCACTGCTCTTCTAGTCGCCTGATACCACTTTTCATTATGAAATACTTAAGCTACTCACTTACGATTGAAATACTTCCTCATGTGAAAAGTTCATTAGCAATCTCTAATGTCTTGTTTCGGCTTTCGCTTTACTTCGTTAGTACTTGGTTTATTATTAATCAATATTGCATAGAATAATCAAAAGATTAGTCAGTTTTATAAATACTTTGGCACATTTTCTTTCATGTATTTATTTATATATAACCAATTGTGGTATTTACTAGAATAGTTTAGTTTAAATGTGCAACATATGATAATATATGTTTAAATTGTATAAGAAGTTTAGACCCAACTTTCGTTTTTTTTTATTAGCTTTTATCTTTAATATAGCCACTTTAGTTAGGGTCTAACGACAGCCCTTTTGAACATTCGTCACATTAACCTTTTAAACTACCCTGGTAACACCGTGTCACAAAATGCCAGCCCTGGAGAGGTCAGAATTTTTATTGGTTAAAGCAGACGTCATCGAGTTAGATCAAAAGGTTAATCCGACTTTAAGAGGGCTGTCGTTAGACTCTAACTGTAGAGGCTATTAAAATAAAAGCTAATAAGAAAACGGAACCGAAGTTGGGTCT